AAAAAAAAAAAAAAAAAAAGGAAACAATTTAATTGTCCATAATTAAAGGCCAGACAAGTTAAGTGACAGCTGTTTGATTGGTGACTGGTTGTTTTAATGGACGCACATGTTCACAGTGAGGGTCTCCCAACATAATTAACGACAAGAGAAATGTTCACAATGTGATGTTAAGTGGGGAAAAGAATCAGACATACACCATGGTCATGATCTGGGGACAAAACGGGGACAAGGTATAGATAAGAAAATGCCTAGACAGGGTGACACCAAGACGTACCCAGGGACCGTCACAGTGTGTGTGGTTTTTAAGTTTCCCTTGTGTCATTTTTGAGCGGTCGGGATTTTCCACCGTCAAAACATAGCTTTTGTTTTGCTTTCCAGTTTACGCTAAAAGCTTGCTTCTCGTCCCAGATTTTGCAGGTGGCGCTGTGGTCCTGCATCTGTCAGCTGCAAGCACAGAGGCCACAGGAAAGGTTCTCCTTACCGTGGGTGCACGTGGCTTATCAGCATTTCCGGAGCCGGCTGCAGAACTTTTCCCGAATCGTGACCACCTACCCCCAAGTCCTACAGATGTTACTCTACAACGTCGTGGGAACCGTAAGGAACGACAGACTGGACGGACCCGAGCTGGTATGGCCTCTCCCGGGTTCGTTTGTGTTCACGGTCTGGGCTTGGCCTTCCTGGGGCAGGTGGGGGGCAGGTGGGGGGTGCTTCTGTGGCCGCCCGGGACGGGAAGCTCCAGGAGCCGTGTTCTGCCTGGGAGACCCCTTCCCGGGGCCGTATGCCCGGTTAACACACACACGTTAGGAACGCATCTGACCAATGCTTCCTACATCCCGGGGCAAGAGGGGAGTAGGCGACGAGCCTGGAACAGAAGAACACGGGCTCACAACCTGGACCTCTGGGCTTAGGATGTTAGAGCAGCCACAGGGGGCGCTGCTTAGTCAGGGGTTTGTTCTCTGTCCACCCGCCCCCCCACCTTCCGCCAGACTCTGGATGCATTTGCAGCGATGGCCTGCACGGAGATGCTGACAAGAGACATCCTGAAGCCCAGCCCCCAGGCTTGGCTGCAGATGGTGAAGAACCTGTCCATGCCGCTAGAGCTCCTGTGCTCGGACGGGTACCTGCAGACCTGCGGGGAGATGGCCAGAGATGTCATCAGGGAGGTCAGGTGAGGCCAGGAGCCCGGCCCCCACCAGCCCCTTCCCCACGGGCTCATGGGGTCCTCTTGCCACAGAAGAGGGTCCTCTCTTAATGTCCGCTGAGTCTCCTTCACCGCCAGGTATCATGCGGACGCTGGAGACGAAACAGACAAAAGGGCATTCAGGGAGCCCCGCTGGGGGCGGGGGGCATGGAAAGGGGAGCAGCAGAGCCTACGGTCCCCGCAGTCCCCGCAGGAGAAGTGCTGGCAGAGGGGAGCAGCAGGAAGGGGCCCTGGGTGGGCGGCAGGGCCGCGGGGAGGAGACAAGCAGTCAGGGTAGGCGTCCCGCGGGGGCACATCCCGTGCCGGCCTTCCAGGGTGAGGCGGGACTCCTGACCCTGAGTCTGCGGGAGGGCATGGGGGACATGAAGGTGACTGGGGGCAGGAGCACGCCTCAAAGGGCTCCTCCTGGAATCTTCCGTCCGCCTTCACCTCATCCCTGTCTCGGATCCCTCCCTGCACCTTTAACCTGGGGTCTCAGGCGCTATTGTCCCAGCCCAGTGACCAACCACCTGCTCTTACAGAACCCAGTGGAACCGCATTTTCCCCGTGGCCCTGTTCGTGGAGCACGTGCTCCTGGGGATCGAGAGCCAGATCCCCGAGCTGTGCGAGCTGGTGACCGAGTATGTCTTCCTACTGAACAAGGTGAGCTCGGGCTCGGCAGGCGCACTTTCCGGGGACGCGGGAGCTCCCGGCCTAACCTGCCGTCACCCGCGGGGTGAGCGTCCTTCCTGCTCTCTGCCCGTCTTACCTGGGAGCGCAGCAGGGCGCGCTTCCTCCGCGGCGGCTGTCAAGCCTGTGTGTTTGCTATCTCCGTGGCCACGCGCTTAGCGGAAGGTGATCTCTGCCTCCGTTACCCCGGGAGCTTTGCGCGAACGCACCTAATGGTGTCAGCTGTCCAGGCTTTGACGTGCAGGCCGCACGCTCCGAGGAGGGCGGGTATCGGTGGTGGAAACGAAACGCGAGCTGACGTGCCTCTCGTAGGACAGTGGGAGCCTCGGCAGTCGGGGCCGCGGGCCGCTCCCCGGGTCGGGTGTCCCTGCTCCTGCGTGCTGTCCCTTTGTCGTCCTCACCATACAACCTCCACCGTGTGCTCTGAGAAGGCTGTTCCTGCTGTCGCCACGGGCCGTTTTAAGAGCACGGCCCAGAATGTGTCCACCCGCTTGAGGTCGCAGCTCGCCGTCCTGAGCGTAGTCACAGCCCCACCTGGCCGCCAAGGAGGCGGAGAAGCCCCTAGTCCGGACTCCCACAGCCCGGTAGAACCTGGAGGCCGTTTTCAGGGAGGGAAGAGTGGAGAAAGAACTCTAGAAAACGCTGGCCTCTGCCACCCTGACGGCGGGACAGGCACACATGACTCCCTTCTTCCCGCACAGAGGCCAGTCCCGTGGGGCCCCTAATGGCCAGGTGACCGGCTGGCTAAGAGATGAGTCATCCGGCCCCTGCACACCAGTGTGCACGCACTCAGGCATCGTCAGGCCCGGCCTGTGGGGTGATGTTCCCCAGAAACGTAGTGGGCTTCTGGCTGGCTTTCCAGTGAGATCCACGCGTGAGTGACCCCGGCTAGAGGTCTTCGCTCATTCATTTTCACACCTGAAGGCTCTTGGGTCTATGGCCTCAGGCGATGCTTGTCCCCTCCAAGGACAGCCTTGAGCCCACTCGCGTTGCCTGGAAGGCTGGCTCCTGTGGTCTGCCCGGAAGAAAGTCTTAACCGGAAAGGCAAGGGGCCTCCACCCTTCTCTTCTAGTGAGGCCGCCCTGGAGTTGGCCTGTGCCGAGAGTCAGCAGAGCCTCCCACAGGACTCTGGTAAAAGCTGCAGGAGGGTGGATATTCTGAGTTTTCTCAGTTCTGATAGAAAGGACGGGTGGGTGGGTGGATAGGTGTAGGTACATAGGTAGCTAGGTATAGATAGATACGTACTAGATGAATAATAGATAGATGATAGGTAGATCGATACTACGTAGATAATAGATGATTGATAGATAGATAATAGATACGGGGAGGGAGGGAGTTCTCTTGCTCTGTGATCCGCCTTCCACGGTGTCACGGATGACAGTCTCACCGGATGTTTTGCTGACTTTCCAGTCTGTAACACTCTATCCTTACCATCCACCGTCCAACCACTAGACCGCTGCCATTTTTTTTTTTTTACTGTGGGAAGATACACATCACATAAAATTTGCCACTGTAACCATCTGTAGGCCTACAGTCAAGTGGCGCTGATTGATTCACACTGTTGCACAACCATTCCCCACTCTCTGTCTCCAGAACTCTTCTGTCTCGCAAGACTGAAACTCTGCCCCCATTGAGCACCAACTCCTGGTTCCCACCCCGCCCCGCCCCCCCCCGGGCCCTGGCGCCCACCATCCTCCTTTCTGTCTATGGTTCTGAGAACTCTAGGGACCTCACAGAAGGCGAACCCTATGCCATCTGTCCTTTGGGGACGGGCCGATGTCACTCTGCATGTCCTCAGGGCCCACCGTGTTGTAGCAGGTGTCGGGACCGTCCTTTATAAGCTGATAATATCCCATTGCGTGGATGGACATAGTTTGTTAATCCAGTCATCCCCTGATGGACCCTTGGGCTGCCCCCACCTTCTGAAAATAGGTAGGAACACTGCCGTGAACACGGGTCTGCAAGTGTCTGAGTCGTGCTTTCGGCTCTTCCGGAGACGAACCTAGAGTGGAGCTGCTGGGTCATATGGAGACTTTGTGCGTAACTTTTTGAGGAGCCGCCGAACTGTTTTCCACAGCGGCCTCACCATGCCTCTCCTGCCAGCAACCCACCGAGGCTCCGATTTCTCCATATCCCTGCTGACACTTGCTACGTTTTGTTTTGTTATCATAGCCGTCCTGATGGGTGTATCCCTTTGTGGGTTTGCTCTGCTGTTTCCCTAATGACTGATGACGGCCAGCATCTTCATAGGTGCTTACGGCCCAATTGTACGTCTTCTTGGGAGAAATGTCTCTCCAAGTCCTTTGCTCCCTTTCGAATTAGCCTGTTGATTAACAAATCAAATTTAGCAGGGTGTTAAAAACCTATCCCGTTTCTTTTTTTTTTTTTTTACCATTTTTTTTAATGTTTATTTATTTTTGAGACAGAGACAGAGTGTGAACAGGTGAGGGGCAGAGAGAGAGGGAGACACAGAATCCGAAACAGGCTCTAGGCTCTGAGCTGTCAGCACAGACCCTGACGCGGGGCTCGAACCCATGAACCGTGAGATCATGACCTGAGCCGAAGTCGGACGCTTAACCGACTGAGCCACCCAGGCGCCGCAAAAACCTATCCCATTTCAAAGTAAGATTAATCCTGGGAATTCAAAGGTAGCTCAGAATCATAAAATCTATAAATGGTATCAGGTACATATCGAATTAGAAGGTAAACTCTAAATGATCATTTCAGAAGGGACAGGAAAAGCATTTGGTAAAATTTATGAAGTGGAAAAAAGATACTCGTGGCAAACTGAGAATACGAGGAGTTCCTTGTTATGCTGTTAACGCCCAAGGGTATACGTGACATAAAGATATCTATTGCAAGCCTCGTGCCTAAGCCCAAAATTCCAGAAGCACACCCACCAGACCACCAGACTCTTAGCTTGTATCGTTGAAGATGCACATTTCCTAAAAACTAGCATCTCCACTTCTTTTTTTTTTTTTTTTTTTTTCAAACGTTTATTTATTTTTGGGACAGAGAGAGACAGAGCATGAACGGGGGAGGGGCAGAGAGAGAGGGAGACACAGAATCGGAAACAGGCTCCAGGCTCTGAGCCATCAGCCCAGAGCCTGACGCGGGGCTCGAACTCCCGGACCGCGAGATCGTGACCTGGCTGAAGTCGGACGCTTAACCGACTGCGCCACCCAGGCGCCCCCCTCATCTCCACTTCTGAGTACAAACCCTAGACACTTCCCACTGGTACTCAGACACGTGGAAGGATGTTGGGTACAACACGGTGGGGACATTCCAGATGCCCAAGTAACCAGAAAACAAGGAGCTGGCGTGTCTGCCGGGGGGTGCCGTACAGCAGGTAACACGAACGATCAGGACTTAAAAACACTGGAAACAATAATGTGGTCCTTACGCAGGCGTGCAAATGTCCTGCACGTGGGAATTTCGGGGGGGCCTCTGTGCGAGGGGAAGGAGAGCAACGCTATCAGAAGGGCACCCAGGGACTTACAGCTCTATCTGCTGCGTTTGGTTTCTTGAAAAAATCACCTAAAGCAAATATTCCAAAAATGCTAAGAGTTCTTAAAGCGTGGGGGTGGGTCCTCGTGTGGTCATCACATCATCATTTCAAGTTTGGAATCTCTCGTCATGGGAGAAGCGTAAGCCTTAGAAAGGACAAGAGAGGAAGGGGGGGGAATCACAAGTTGCACATCTCGTCCTCCCCCCCGCCCCCAAAGCAGCATGATAACAAAGGACATTCAAAGCTAGAGAAACTGCTAGAAACAGAAAGGCCTTACCCTGCAGGCAAACACCACAGCCCCAGCCCCCAACTCCAGCCCAGTGGCCGGAGGTGCCCGACGTGCACACCGTGTCGCCCCGGGAGTGTCGTGTTGGCTGGCTGAGCTCTGCCCCTCTTCACTGCTCATTAGCATCCTTGTCACTGCCCCCCGTCCCTCAGTGTCTGCAGGAGAACTCCGACATCAAGACGTACCGGCCCTTCGTTGCCGTGATGGTCACTCTTCGTAAGTGTAAGGACCAGGTCTGCAAGACCCTCGCCAGGTGAGACCTTTGGTTCGAGATCCCTGCGGGAGACAGCCCTGCACGTGTGGCCCCTGTAGCTTCAGAACCGGTCACCCTTCTTGGATCCTAGGGTTGAGATTCAGCCGTGCCCTGTCTGCCTGGGAGACCCACAGGACCCGGTGTGCCTGCCCTGTGACCACGTATTCTGCTTGGCCTGCGTCAAGGTCTGGGTCATCATAGGCCAGATGAGATGTCCTTTGTGTTTAACAGACTTGCCAGAAAGCTTCTCTCCAGCGGTGTCCCAAGAGCACAGGTAAATCGCCCTTTCTTTCTCTTGAGCTTCCTCTTTTTCTTTCTTGTTTGGCAAGTACAGTATTCAGAAATATAAACCGTATTAACCTTAGAAAACCTGACTTCAGAGGTGCCTGGGTGGCTCAGTCGGTTAAGCGTCCGACTTCGGCTCAGGTCGTGATCTCCCGGTTCGTGGGTTCGAGCCCCGTGTCGGGCTCTGGGCTGACAGCTCGGAGCCTGGAGCCTGCTTCGGATTCTGTGTCTCCCCGTCTCTCTGCCCCTCCCTGCTCTCACCCTCCCTCCCTCTCTGTCTCTCTTTCTCTCAGAAATAAACATTTTTTTAAAATAACTTAAAAAAAAAAATAAAAGAAAAGCTGACTTCAGAGAACCATCCTAAGAGAGACGGCCACTTGTGTAGCTTCATAAGCACCTAGTGTCCCAAAATGATTCTCTCCCCGAGACACACGCGAGCATAGATTTGGGAGATGACCCGACTAGCGGAAATAAATCAGAAAGTCATAAATTAGATAAAGCCGTCACGAAACACCCGAGGAGCTTAGATGGGAGAAGTTTGCCTTCCCCCGACCCGAGGCGCCAGCTGTGCCTGGCCACATGTCCTGCGGGGCAGTGGTTGGCATCGGCAAACACTCGGCGGGCTCAGAGCCCTTAGCTCTGCCATCGGTGACTCAGCAGCCTTCCCTTCCCGCCCCCTTCCGATAACCGCCCGAAGGTGGGGCACACGGCCAGTCCAGCGGGTGGGGTCTTTGCAGACTTCAGCAGAAAAGGGTGTCACTGGCTGGTGCAAATGATCAAGGGGCCCCTAGAGAGGAGTTTGCACCCCGTCCGGCCGTTTGCACCCAGCTCTAAGTTTGCACCCAGCTCTAAGCGCCCGTAGCAAGGAGATACTTGTATCTCTTTACTGAAGAACACGAGGTGTCCAGCCTGGGCAGGGATCTGGGGCACGCTCTCCAAGCACTGACTGTGCCTCCCCACCGTGTTCCCCCAGGAATGCCATCAGGAAGCACGCCTGTATCCGGCAGATGTGTAACAGTTTCTTCATAGATCTGGTCTCCACCATATGCTTCAAGGATAATTCCCCACCAGAGAAGGAGGTGATCGATGTTCTGCTAAATTTACTCTTCGCGCAAAAGGAGCTCTTAAGAGGTACCTTCCAAAGTAAGTTGCTTTCTGCCCATAGACCGAAATAAATCCTGGCTTCCTCCTCTGACTTTTTTGTGTCTGATGTGAATAATGAGCTACCCCCTCTCTCTCTGGTTGAAGGGCACCGTGAACACACAAAATCTCTCTCCCCCTTCGATGATGTTGTGGATAAGACCCCTGTCATCCGTTCGGTGGTGCTGAAACTGCTTTTGAAGTACAGGTAAGCACAGCCAGCCTGGAGTGAGCTTCTAGAAGCTGCTTTGGGGGAGCTTTTTCAGTGGGGCACCCCCTGGTTGTGTGTGTGACGTCTTCGGCTGTAGGCAAATGAATTCAGCGTAGCTACGAGGCACCTTGTTGGGGGGAAGAAGACGTGTTTTGGGCAGGGGAGCGTGTTTCACGTGCGAGAACGCATGAGCCCTGCGGTTCTGAGCCTCCTCGCACAGCTATCTCGTTTGGGGATTTGGGGGGACGGACGGTAACTTAGAGCGGCCCCCCGCCCTCATCGTCCTAGGCGTCCCCTACATTTTGTATCCGCAGTTACATCTGTCTGCTTCTGTGAAGGGACAGAGACGCCTGCACAGTGCCAAAGGCCAGCGGTCGTGTCAAATTATGGTATTTCAGAAAATGCCGAGAAGGCTGACCTGTGTCCCAAGGCTTCTTTCAGAGGACACTTAGTGCCCCCGGCCTGTGCCCTGGCTTGACAGAGCATACTTCGAGGAGACGGCAAAATCAAGATGCTACAAGAAAAGTTCCAACAGACGGGGTGCCCGGGTGGCTCAGTCGGCAAAGCGTCCAACGTCAGCTCAGGCCGTGATCTCACGGTTCGTGGGTTCGAGGCTCACGTCGGGCCCTGTGCTGACAGCTCAGAGCCTGGAGCCCGCTTGACCCACCGAGCCGCCCGGACTCCCCTAAACGTTATTAATTTTTAACCCGTGTGGGGTGTATGTTTTAAACTAGGTGATAAGTATTTTCAGTTTTTTTCAGTTTTAATTTGGACCGTCCTCAACATCGATAGATGGGACCCACATCAACAAAGCCCTTGGGGTTCTGTGTAATTGTTAAGACCGTTAAAGAGTTCTGAAGCCAAGAAGGCCGAGAACAGCTGGTCTAAAGTGCAGAATTGTATTCCTCCAATATTGTGCTAAAATATTTTCAGTACAACCATGTTATAAAGTGTACGTACACATGTCTGTATTTATACAGGAGGAGGGAGATGGATAGGTAGGTAGGTAGATAGATACTTTCTCTCTCTCCCTCTCTTTTTTTTTTTTTTTTTGGCAACACGAGACCTGAGATCACCAGGTACCATATGTCTCTTTCCGCAGCTTCCAAGAAGTGAAAGATTACATCCAGGCTTACTTGTCCCTTTTGGAGAAGAAAGCGTTCTTGACTGAAGATAAAACTGAGCTGTACATCCTCTTTAGCACCTGCCTGGAGGTAAGCGAGCCGTCAGTACCCTGAGCTCCTTCTGCAAACTAGCTGGACCACGCGGTCTGTTCAGTGGAAAAGTGTCTCTGAAAATTTACAGAATATCATTTTAGTGGGTGAAATTACCAGATGCTGGCTCTACACACAGAAACACTGCTTCTGCCCCGAGCAGTCGTGTGTCCTGATGTGTCCGAGCCTGGACGAGAGGAAAACACCACTCCTCCCAGGTTAACTGTGCTCAGCTCTGCAGGTGGAGAGGCTGTGGCTGTGATTGCTTGTCGTATTTCTTCCCTCCGTACTTTTGCTACTTGTGATGCACATGAGAAAATCAGATTATACGACGTTTTTTCTTCCTCAGAGGTGTTCTCTTCCCCTCCTTCTTGCCCCTAAAATAAAAAGGGTTGTTTGTTTTCCATGATTCAAAACAGTTACCTTCGACCTTACGATATTTTTTTTCATGTTTATTTATTTATTTTGAGCAAGAGAGAGAGAGACAGAGAGAAAGTGTGTGTGTGTGTGTGTGTGTGTGTGTGTGTGTG